TTCTTTGGTCTAGAGTATTTGTATTTGTGGCCATGATATGGTACTTTTTCCCGTTTCCTAAATTTGTGTGCAACATGCAGATCTCCGTAGTGCACATTTTAAGTCTCATTCTAACTTCTGTGTTACTACATCTTTGACGTTTTCCTTACCACTACTTTTTTTTTGCCTTCACTTTTAACATTTTTGGGGGTGGAGGGTACTGGAGATTGAACTCAAGGGTACTCCACCGCTGAGCCACATCCCCAGCCCTATTTTGTATTTTATTTAGAGACAGGGTCTCACTGAGTTGCTTAGGGCCTCCCTCTTACTGAGGCTGCATTTGAACTTGCGATCCTCCCGTCTCAGCCTCCCGAGCTGCTGGGATTGCCGGAGTGCACCACAGTGCCCGGCTTACTTTTAACTCTTGTTAGTATGTTTAATTCTTCTCTAGAATAAGGTAGAATTTAAATAAGTAATAAATAGATATAAATAAAACACAAACTTCACTGAAACTTCTTGTTATTTATCAGTGGCCTTCCACAGTGGCTGTATATTTTAAAAATACTGATACCTGGGTGCCACCCCGTGAGATTCTGATGTCACTGATTCGAGGGGTGCCCTGAGCATCACAGGTAATGCTAATGTGCAGGAAGGATGAGAATCACTGCTCTGGGTCTTCACTGGGATAAAACAGGGTCCCCTTCAGGTGAGCTGACAGACCGTGGGCCTGGACTTTCCATGTGTCCCTATCATCAGGACAGACTCGGTCCTTGGTCCACAGTTCTTCATTTGTATGTAAGTGGTGAGTACTAGATGACAGTTTTTTAAAAGAATTGTCTTCTGTGCAAAACAGATGCTCTAATAATTACAGACTGTTATTGAAAGAAATAAAGACCTAAATAAACAAAAATATACCCCATGTTCATGGACTGGACAACTTAATATCATTAAGATGACAGTACTCCCCAAATGATCTGTTAGTTCAACCCAGTTCCTATCAAACTCACAGCAAAATTAACAAGATGGTCCAAAATTCCTATGAAAATTCAAAGAAACCCAAGTAGCCAGAGAAAAAAGAACAAAGTCAGAGAACTTATATCTCCTATTTTCAAAACTTACTACAGGGGCTGGGGCTGGGGCCCAGTGGCAGAGTGCTTGCCTAGCACATGTGAGGCACTGGGTTCAATCTTCAGCACCACATAAAAAAAAAAATAAACAATCAAGTTATTGTGTTCATCTACAACTAAGTTTTTAAATATCTTTAAAAACTTACTGAAGAGTCGCTTTAATCAAGATGGTGTGGACAGATACATAAAGTCAGTGGAACAGAGCTGAAAGTTCAATCAAAAGCTCTCATGTTTGTGGGCAACTGATCTTTGCAAAGACTGCTGGGGTAATTCAGTGGGGGGAAGAAGAGTCTCCTCAGCACCGTGCTGCAGAGCCACGTGCAAGAGTGACGTCGGACCCCTTCATGACAGCATCCACAAAGCCGGATGCTGGACCTCACACCTCAAAGTAGGAGCTAAACCATAAGCTCCTTAGAAGAAAATCTAGGAGTAAATCTTTGTGACCTTGTGTTAGTTAAAACACAAGTAAAAGTCACATGAGAAAAAATGGGTAAATCAGAATTTGGAAGTCTAATAGTTGATATTTAGAATATGTAAAGAACTGTTACAATTCAAAAGACAATTGTGGATTCACTTAAAAATGGTCTGAAAATTTAAAAAGATATTTCTCCAAATATATGCACAAGGCCAGTAAGCATTTATAATGATGGTCAACATCTTTAGTCACTGAGGAAATGCAAATTAAAATGACAATATGATACCACTTTACAACTACAAGGATAGTCATAATTTATAAAAAGAAGAAAAATAGCATGTGTTGCTGAAGACATTAGGGTCCTCCTACATTGATGGTGGGAATGGACAGTGCTTTGGAAACAGTCTGGCAGTTTCATGGTGAGTTACCATGGTACCCACTGGTTCTTCTCCTTGGTATACAGCCCTGGAAATGAAAGCATGTCTACACAAAAATTTGTATGGGGCCAGGCACAGAATCGCATGCCTGTAATCCCAGCAGCTTGGGAGGCTGAGACAGGAGGATCACAAGTTCAAAATCAGCCTCAGCAAAAGTGAGGCGCTAAGCAACTCAGTGAGACCCTGTCTCCATATAATATACAAAAAAGGGCTGGGGATATGACTCAGTGGTCAAGTGCCACTGAGTTCAATCCCCAGTACCAAAAAAAAAAAAAAAAAAAAAAAAAAAGAAAAAGAAAGGAAAAAAGAAAAAGAAAGCTGGTATATTACAAAAATTAAATTGCCTTCTAACTTACCCACTGACAAATGGACATTAGGGCTCCCTCTGATTTGCACTGTGTCACATGTGTGTAGCAACTGTCTGCTTATCATCACTGCAAGTGACATCAGAGCCAGGAAACTCAAGCCTCTCATCTGAACACTGATTAATGAACAGATAAACTTACTGAAGCACTGTTCCCCATTCAATTCTGCTAATGTGGCTTGTTTTTAGCCATTTGATCTCCACCTCATTTCTAATGATTATAAAGAATTAAAACAAATCATCATTGCAGAAGTTTTATAAGAAAATGCAGATAAGAAAAAGAAGAAAAGAAAACTTGGGTCTTTTTTTTAAAAAAATATTTATTTTTTAGTTATCAGTGGACACAACATCTTTGTTTTGTATGTGGTGCTGGGAATCGAACCCAGGCCGCACGCATGCCAGGCGAGTGCGCTACCGCTTGAGCCACATCCCCAGCCCCTTGGGTCTTTTCTTAACCCAAGATTAGAAGGGGGCCCACCTCTCCTGCTGTGGATGGACAGGCAGCAGCAAGATGCCCATTGTGTGTGGTGGCCATGTCTCCTTGGGAAGGACACTGGATGAGAGAATGCTTCCTGCAAGTTAAGAAGGGACTTTTGGCACATAGCACATCTTGTCACACAGGTCCAGCCTCCTGAACCAGCTGCTGCCACTTCAGTCATTCCCCAGCTCCCGACTGTTTTGAGAACCTGCGATGTCTGCTCAGACACACAGGCTTCTTGCTAGTTGGAAGCCCTTACAGTGAGACAGGCTGCGAGAATCACTGTCGTGTGTGGGTGTCTCTGGGGAGCAGTGAGGGCTGCCTGTGCCTCTCGTCAGACTGTCCCCTGATGAGCAGTCTAGTGGGGGAAGCCAGCCCGGCTTGCAGCTCAGGGTTATCAGGCCAACGTGTAGAGGAAGGCCTGCAGCCACCCCCTGATCCTGCTCAAACGTTCCCCTGGGGAAACCAGTCCTCGAGCAACGAGTTTAAACACACGGCTTCACGATGGTGGGCTTTTCGTTTCCACCTCAAGCTTAACAGGTTTTCATTGAACTTGCTCCTTTTCCTTTTCCTTTTCTTTCTTTCTTTTGGTCAGCTTTAAAGCCCTTCTGTTCAAGCAGGGATCAGTTTGGAGCTCACCTTTCTTGCATGCTCTACTGCTGTATGGGTTGAGTATCCCTAGTCCAAAAATCCAACCAAAATGCTCTAACGTCCCAAACTTTTTGGACACTAACATGATGCCACAACTGGAATATTTTCTACCATGAAATTTTGTTTCATGCAGGGAATTACTTAAGATATGGTATAAAATGACCTTCAAAACTATATATTACCAAATTTGAAATGCATAATACTTCTAGTCCTGAAGCCTTTTAGATATTCAACCTGTCATTTCTGATAGTTTATGCTTTTACAAAATGAAATTCCTTGGTGAGTAAAAAAAGCAGTAGTCCACTCAAAGAAATTAAGACACTTTGTGGCTTACCCTGGGGAGGCCGGCTGTCTGTGTCTTCTATTCCGTTCTGAGGAATCACGGGGAGGATTTTTACTGGCCAACCTAAATATATACTTTTTTGTTGTCAATTCTAAGTCTTGCTTTTTGCATTGCATAAACGAGGAGCCTGGGCCACATAAGCTCAGCACTGAAGGGCTTTTGTCACAGCATTGCCACTCTACTGCCTTCCAAGTAATGTGTGTTGTTGTGCTTTTGTGTCTTATTTAATGTCTCTTGGTTCTATGAGACCCCAGTCAGCTTTACCCAAGACGAAGGAAACCACCCTACCTGCCTAGGGATGAGCCCCCAAGCCTCTCTCAGGTCTATGCCAGTGTCTAAATGACCCTTTATTAGCACCCCCTGCCATTTGACACTCGGGATGGGACACCACTTAAGATCTGAGGCAGGTGGGGGCTCAGCATGCTTTTGTGAACTAGGAAAGGGGCCCTCAAAGTCACTTTCTTTGGAAAGAGAATATACGGAAGTTGAGGGTCTGAGAATTCCCTAAAAGCTCTCCATGACTGGCTGTGGTTTGGAGATGCTTTGGGTAGGATTTGTCCATAAAGTAGCCGCCATCAGAACAGTGGACTTGGAGGCTGAGGCATTCACCACGTGTGCTATGTCAAGAATAAATAATATGAACGGCGAGTTATGTTGAGGAAAGGCCCTTTCTGTTGTAATTTTGCTCAACTGGTTTTATCATTAATAATGCATTTGAAAGTCCTGCTTTTGTTTTTTATTCATAGTTTATAGGATATTCTTCCTGTCCTACATGTTTTTCCTTAAAGGAAACACAAACCATTGATTTTTCTTCTTTTTTCTCCCTCTTCTTCCTCATTCTCATTTTCTACTTTCTTTTCTTTTTCCTTAACTTTATTTTTTATTTTTTGGTATTACTAGGAACAGCAGCCAGGGCCTTGCACGCCAGGCAAGCGCTCTGCCACAGAGCTACCCCTCAGCCTTTTCTACTTTCTAAGTCAGAGGCTGCTCAGAAAGTCCAGGGGATGGTTTGAGAGGTTTGTTGACTCAGCTAAAATCCTGAGGTTTCGTCCCTCTTAAGTACACGTGAATGCTCTCTGAATATCTATGTGTGTATTAAAATGATAAATTGACAAATTATAGTTGCAAATATATTGTGCATATGTTTATAGGGTACAAGGTGATGCTGTGATTTACAAATACAGTAGGAATAATTCACTCAAGCTGTTCCATCTCAAATCCTTATTTTTTTATGGAGAGAACATTTGAAATATATGCTGAGTAATTTTGAAAGGTACAATTCAGAATCATTTACCGTTTCCATCCCATTGTGCCATATACACAAAGAAAAAGCCTCCCTGCTCCCTCCTGTCTGAGGCTTTGTGCCCATTAGCTGGCATCTCCCCACTCCCCACCCCAGATAGTAACCTCCGATCTCGGCCTCTCTGGGTCACATGGTATTAGATCCTGCCTGTAGGGGAGGATGTGTGGGATCTGTCTTTCTGAGCTGGCTTAGTTCATGTGGCCTTATTTTCTCCGTTTCCATCCACATTGCCACAAGTCCCTGAACTTCTTCCTGAAGGCTGAAGTACTCCACGGTGCTTCTAGACCACGTTTTCTTTACCCATTCGTCTCTCGACGAATGCTTAGTCTTGATTCCATAACTTGGCCACTATGACTAGTGCTACAGTGTACATGGGGTGTGCGTGTCTCGTCACCATGTAGATGCCCAGAGTGGAATGACTGGATCATGTGGAAACTGTTTGGTTTCTTGAGGAACTTCCACAGTTTCCATAATGGCTGGACTAACTTATGTACCCACCACCGATGTACAAGTGTTCCCTTTCCTCCATATCCTCTCTGACACTTGTTATTGTTTGTCTTTTTGATAAGTCATTTTGACAGATGTGAGGTATCTTATTGTGCTTAAATAATACAATATCTAATTAGGCATTATCTAATCAGATAATAGTAAGGTATTATCTGATTAGATAATACCTAATGATTTAGCAATACTGAGCATTCTTCAACTCCGAGTTGGCCATTGGTATGTCCTCTTTTGAGGAATGTCTATTCAGGCCCTTTGCCCATTATTTAATCAAATTATTTGCTTTCTTTCTGTAGAATTGTTTGAGTTCCTTGAATATTTTATATATTAACCCCTTATGAGATATATGGCTTGTAAATATTTTCTCCCATTCAAAATAATTTGCCATGAGTTGTTACTTCATTCTGTTGATTGCTTTCTTTATTGTACCGAAACTTTTTATTTTGGTGTAATCTCACTTGTCTAGTTTTGCTTTTGTTGTCTGTTTGCCTAGACCAAGGTCAAGTATTCCTCCAACCCCCATGTTTTCTTCTAGTAGTTTTACATTCTTAGGTCTGTTTAATCCATTTGCAACTGATTTTTTGTATACAGTGCAAGAGAAGAGTCCAGTTTCATTTTCTACATGTGGATATCCAGTTTCCCACACCATTTTTAAAAGAGATTTTCCTTTTCCTATCATATGGTTGGCACCTTTGTCAAAAATCAATTAATCACCTAGGCACGGTGGAGCAATTCTGAAATACCAGCAGCTGGGAGGCTGAGACAGGAGAATCACAAGTTCAAAGCCAGGATCAGCAAAGGCAAGGTGTTACACACTCAGTGAGACCCTGTCTCTAAATAAAATTCAAAAATAGGGCTGGGGGTGTGGCTCAGTGATCCAGTGCCCCTGAGTTCAATTCCAGTACCAAAAAAGAAAGAAAAAGAAAAAAATCAATTGACCAGTTGGGCATAGTGGCACAAGCCTGTGATCCCAGCAACTTGGGAGGCTGAGGCAGGATGAGCACAAGTTGAAAGCCAGCCTCAGCAACTTAGTGAGGCCCTAAATGATTTAGTGAGACCCTGTCTCAAAAATGAATAAATAAAAATGGCTGGAGATGTGGCTCAGTGGTAAAGCACCCCTGGGTTCAATCCCCAGTACTAGGGAAAAAACTTGACCCCAGATGCATGGACTGTTTCCAGGTTTCCTCCATTCCATTGGTCTTGTGGCTCTTTTAATGCCTATTCTTGCTGCTTTAATTACTATTGCTTTATAGTATATTTTGAAGTAATTTAGTGCAATGCTTCCAGCTTGTTCTCTTTGTCATGATTGCCTTGGCTATAAAGAGTCTGTGTGTGTGTTAAGTAGGGTGGGGTGGGGGTGTACTACATGAATTTTAAGATTTTTCCTCTATTTCTATGAAAAATGACATTGGAATTGAGGGTATTGCATGATAATAATTCTTCTGATCCATGAACATAGGATATCTTTCTATGTAATTGTCTTCATATAGATATATGTATGTATATTCATATGCAGACACATATTTCAGCTATGAATCTGGCACTACAATCACAAATTACACTTTACAACCCTTTACACTTCCCTACCCATTAAATAAACTTCTGATTCGTAGCACCAATCTCTTGCTTCTCTAAAATCCCTCAGTCACCCATCATCAAGTGGCATCTTGAGTTGTCAGGGGCTGAAGAAGTGAATCTGAAATACCATATGTGAGAATCCAGATCTTACTCTGGGTGTGACTGAGAAGTGTGTGATATTCTGCAATTTTACATTCCCTTTGCTAACTCAGAGCTCATACTGTGCTATATTTGGCCCTTCCATTCAGGTTTCATTTCCAAGGACCCTGTGGAACAACTCTTCCTGAAGCCCTTGCTCCGCATGAAACTGAAACTATTTCCTAAGTGCCCTGGGGAAGGAAGGAATGATAGTATATCAAGAACTAGGCCACGAAGAGGAGAAATGATCTTGTGGATGGTGAGCTGAATTTGGAAGATCTAAAAATATCCTTGCACCTCTGGCTGGAATCCACCCTGTTAAGTGACTGGGCTTAGAAGTAGTAAGAGCAAATGTATAAGCAAGAAGTCCGAGAATTGTAATGTTAATGCACGTTACTTGGTTTTAATGAACTCTAAGTGTCTTATGCTTGATGTGTTTGTTTGCTACTGGGAGGAGAAAATTTTGTAGTTAGACTGTCTACAAAAAGGTAATTATCTTGATTATATTTTTGCTCTATGGGCAAAAATAGAAATAGAGAAGTAAAATCCTAGTACTTAATTCTGATTTTTACACAAGTTTTGGTGGAAAATGAAATCACTCTCTACAGTAGTTAATTTATCATATAAAAATGTTATCCTAAAAGATGTTTTTGGGAGCTTTTTTTTTCAGTATTTGTTGGTTGCCTTACCTCAAAGAACACAGGATATTAGGATAACTTACAACACAAATGAATGCAAGGAAGGAAAAATGACACAGGAAGAAAGCAGATGAGGAAAAAAATGCAAACATAAGGATCACCCAAGGATAACCACAGCTGCCTAAAATTTAGCTCGGGTTATCTTGGCAGGAAGAGCAGGGAAGGAAGAAGGAGAGGACACCCCCCCCACTGGTGCTTAGGCCTATCCACAAGCATGGCTGAATGCTGGACCGGTAGTCAGGGACGGGTTGATCTGATTGCAGTGGATTCAACCTAAGACAGGAAATTGACGTGTAAAGGTCAGTTCTCCCATGACGGGTAAGAACCACATGTTGAATTGGACAACCTACCAGGCACGGTCCTAAGCCACATTGCTTGTTGTTTAATTAATCAGAAGGGGGGAGATGCTGAGGGCCATTACCAAGTAGGAATGACGCATCGAAATTTCCTTGCCAAGCGTACCCCATGCTGCTTAGAGGACATTCGATGGGACATTGCATGCATGCTTTAATAAGGTGACCTTGCTCAAGGACCAAGGCGGATCCAGGTTTAGAGCTGATCAGGTTTGAGGAAGTAACCAGCTCCTTGAGTTTAAGGCGTTGCCAGTTTAAGATAATGGGTTTTAGGGAAGTTGGAAGTTGAAGATTATTGCTGGGATTAGGGTGTTCCTGCTGCCTGTTCCCGTTGAGTTCTCGTGAGATTAAAATGGGATTTGGAGATAGCCTCGTGGAGTAGGTGGTTTGTGCGGGAGACGGCAGAACGCATTTGCCCCTGGACCTGTGTGGAGGCGGTGTGAGAGCTGGAATAAAGAATTGCTGTTTGAACCTACAAAGCTGTGAGTGCCTCGTGATTCTGGTGCCAAGCCGAGACATTGGCCTTGGCAGGAGACGCCGTTCAGCTTGGTGCCCACACATTCTGTTGTCGCCCCAGACTTCCTTAATGACCCTAACATCAGTCAACCCCAGAGGGTTGTTTTGAACCCAAGCAATACAGCATACAGGACAAACTCAGGTTAACAAACACATTAAACCATCTCATTATGGGAATAAGAAATTAGAATTGCATGCCTTCAATTGAGTCAGAAAAAGAGGACAGTCAAGCGAGACTTTCCAATGAAACTTTAGTTCTTCATCAAAACAGCATAAAAAGCCCTAGACAGAAAGCCACCAAGGTACCCTCTCTGGGACCGTTTCCTTGCTTGCTTCTACTAAATCTGCTACTGAATTCTCACCCTCCATCATCCGGGTACTTCTTTCTTGGGGTGTGTAAGACAATATCCCTTCAACACTCACCACCTTATATTAGAGCATCTTCCAGGAAGATGCATGCAGCCCCCGGGGGGGGGGGTCACAAGCCCTCCCTGGTACTGAATTCTGATGGGAGTTTTCCCCCTGGGTCTTTCATAATGATACCCTTATTACCTTGGACTAGAGAAGTAAGACTACTACTCCTTACTTGAACACCACAAGCCAGTGGGCTCTCAGGGCCCTTGGCTTACCTGAAGCTGGGCTGTGAGGAGGCCCGAGTTCAAGTGTATGCAGGTCATACATAATACCATCCCTTGGATTAGGTGGGCTTCCCCTGAGGAATTACAGACCTCTGCCATGTCACCTCAGCCCCTTGAAGAATTAATGTTATGCCCTTAGGTTTATAGATACAGGTGACAAGCCACTGCATATGAATGTCTTTGTATTTAATAAATCCCAAAGATCCTTTGTGTGCAAAGAGGCCTACAGGAGTCTGGAGAACCAACCATGCATCCTGAGGAGTCAGTTCCCACTTTAGCTGGATGGGTCAGGAGTATACACTGAGGGGACAGATGACACCAGTAATAAAGTGATGCTGGGATGCAGTTTTTTAAGTGCAGTACTATCAGGCACTTAATAGGTTTGTTGTTGGATTCCTCCAGGTTAATTTTATGCATTTTCTGAGTGTTAGCAACTGTGGAAATCAACACACTCTCAAGAAGTCTAAATGTTTTTGTTTTGTAATTTCTATCTGACCAAAGACCAGAGATTTCAGATCTTTTTTTTTTTTTTTTAGTTTAATTTTTGGTACCAACAGCTTTGTTTATTCTTGTGTCTTGTTTTTTTTTTTTCATACGGTTTTGTTATTTTAAAACTGGGAATTGCTTTGAAATCCAAGAGATGAAAGGAGATTAAAAATATCAAATATAAGTGAGAATTATTCAGTTCGAAGGGGCATTTACTGAACATCCTACCATATGATGGTCATTATAAGTGAAATGATCAGCAAGGCCTGCGTCTTACCCTCCAGTTCATGGCGTGGTTGGAACCACCACCGTAAACTTACACAGTGTGGAAAGTGCAGCAGTGGACGTCAGTGCCAGGCTCAGAGAAGACAATTAGAGCTCCACCCAGCAGCGACGAGTGGACGGTGCTGGAACTCGCCTGGGGCGAGCTTCCGAGTGCAAGAAGGAGTTCTGGTGGGGCGTGTGGGGCACGGCACGCGGGAAGCAGCTGATTTGCTGGGAGAATGAGTGATCAATCCTACTGTACAACGGTGGGAAAGACAGACGGATCGCGAGGCCTCGGTGCGTAGAGAATACCCGGGGTGGGGGCGGAGCGAGCGCGCGCCACGTTCAACGTGACGGTGCCCTGCGCTCCACAGGTCGCACTCCCATCTGCGGCGGCTGAAGGTCAGTCGCGGGCGGGAACCGACGAGGGTTCTAGACTCACCAAGCGTCTGTTCTCCTGGGGCGCCACACAGACCGAGCGGCTGCGCGGCCGGGGTCGCCAGGCGCGCGTCGGACGCTGAGGATTTAGCTAAGCCAGGCTGCGTCCCCGGTGGGTGACAGCAGGAGGGAGGCATCGACGTCCTTCCGCTAGAGCGCATTTCTTCCCGGTGGAAGCTGCGAGGCGCTTGGAGCCATACCCACAAATACCGATGAACTTAGGACCTAACCGAACCCAGTGCTAAAAAAAAGGCAGCGACAAGTGACCAATGCCTGGCACCGGACGGCGAACGTTCCCGCAGCGGAGGAGGGTAGCCCGAACCCGGGCAGCTGTGGCGCCACGGGAGCTCGCCCTTTCAACTAGCTTGTCGCGAGAGAACGCGCCCCCGTAGGCCTGGGCCACGCCCCTCATCTTGCGCACGCGCTTCCGTGCCCTGGGGCCTCCAAACCTGCAGGGGGCGATAAAAGTTCACGTCGCTTACTCTTCCAAGCCGCGCTCAGCTGGCAGCTGTTTCCGGGTCAGAAGTCAGACTGATCGGCGCAGCGTGAGCCATGGTGCAGCTTCGGCCGCGCGCGTCCCGCACCCCCGCGTCGGCGGAGGCGATGGTGGATGAAGGCCAGCCGGCCTCGGAGGAGGCGGAGCACGGCCTGCTGCTCGGGCAGCCCAGCAGCGGGGCGGCCGCTGAGCCCTTGGAGGATGAGGACGGGGAGGACGAGCTTGACGACGAGGCCCCAGAGGAGCTGACCTTCGCCAGCGCCCAGGCCGAAGCGAGAGAAGAGGAGCGGCGGGTGCGCGAGACCGTGCGCAGGTTCGGAGCCCGCGGGCCGGCGGGGAGCACGGGCGCTGGCGACGCCTCGGCCCTGCCCGCTGACCCGCGTCCTTTCTCCCAGGGACAAAACGCTGCTGAAGGAGAAGAGGAAGCGGCGCGAGGAGCTGTTCATCGAGCAGAAGGTGGGAGGGCGGCGGGGCGCCGCGTTCTGCAGCCACCTTGCCGGGCGGGGCGCGCTGTCGCGCGGGGCTGCCGACCTGGTGCGCGGGAGACGGCGCACGGCCGGACCGAGGCGCCGGGGCCCTCCGCTGCCCACCTCGGAAACGCGGGTGGACGAGCTGTGAACGCGAAACGCCCCGGTCGCTGGGCATCGCGGCGGTGGTTTCTCCCGTCGGAGTCTCGGTCGCCGAGATGAAACGGGGCCATTTGTGAAGGAAGCTGGTTCAGACGCAGGGTCTGGTCGCTTCGCTGTCTCGTGTGGGCAGCTCAGAGAAGTGCCTCCAGGTGGTCCTGCTTGAAGTCCTTTCAACTCCTAAGTGACCCGAGGTGGGGAGCTGAGGTCTCCCTCCAGGTTCTCACAGGTCTGGAGAGCGTGGGAAGTCATTCATTGAGCCCAGTGTCCCCGCCCCCGGGCTCCAGAGCCAGAGTGTCCAGCCCCAAAGTCCAGCTGCCCTTAAGATGGGGACTTGTAACCAGGCGTCGTCTTACGCACGGTACTGATTTTTTAATGTCTTTTTTTTTTTCTGAAAGAAAAGAAAACTACTTCCAGATTTTCTTCTAGAACAGTTAACTGCAGCGCCGCACACTGAGTGAGTACTGGACCTTGAACTCAGGGACACTCTTGCTCACGTAGCGTAGCCAGCCATCTCGGGACTCCGGGCTGGAATCCACCCATGTAATTGAAGGAATTACGGAACCTAAGTTAATAAGCTTCACAATGGGGATATTTGAATTTGGCGGAAAGAGGGAAATATGGCACTTTTTAGGCTTAGTTTTGTTTATTCCCCTAGATAACTCTAGCTTCTGAGTTCCTAATCGCAGTGTATTCATTGAATAAAGTTTGTTGAGCACTTTTTGCAGTTGGGGCAAAAAAGGATAGACCGTGTTGAATACAAATGTTTTAATATTTAGTGAAGTGCAAGACAGTTACCCAGCAAGCTCCGAAAACTCAGCTTTTCTCAAATCATGCCTTACCTGCCACTGTTCTTCCTCTTTTCCCCATTTAGTGACTTTGCCATCCACGACATTTAAAAGTCAGCAGTTGTCATCTCCCTCTAGCTCATGGACTCAAGACCGACTGATTTTAGACTTTTAAATATTTGGGTTTTTTTGGTCATCTCTCTTGGCTCCTGCTTTAAGTTCAAAAGTTTAGCCCCCTTCTATGTAGGCCAATAGTTTTCAACTTTTTATTAAAAGAAAGTTTTCTAGAATTTCTTTTTTCCTTTTTTTGGTACAGGGGATTGAACTCAGGGACACTCAACCACTGAGCCACATCCCAGCTCTCTGTTTTATTTGGAGACAGGGTCTGTCTGAGTTGCTTAGGGACTTGCTTTTGCTGAAGCTGGCTTTTAATTCAGGATCCTCCTGCCCTCAACCTCCCCAGCTGCTGGGATTACAGGTGTGTGCCACCACACCTGGCCAATTCATGTCTTAAATACATATGTAGCTCCGGCTGTTGAATCCTCTTTCATTATTTTAAAATCAACTTAAAAGTGACACCCTTTTTTGATTTCCTCCTTTGTGACCTTTTGTTGCAAATGGTTCTGCATTGTACTCTGTATACTCATACTTTATTTGTCAGTTGTCATCAGTCTGATCCTTTTCTCCAGTGACTATAAACTGTTGAATTATCCTCTGTGATTTCTCCAAGTGTGAGATTAGGCCTACCTTTGGTTCTTTTGATTCTGTTCAAGACTCCATTCTACTCCTTTGAAGCCTAGTAATATGCTTTCAGATTTAAATCCTGAGAAGGTACTGTGATCCTCATAATACTAGATCATTGATTGAGAATTGGTATGGTGCGTTGCAGAAAGCCTTTTGCTTTCCCAAAACAGAGGTCCTGAGTAAAAATTGAGGATGCCGATAATTGGGGCGAGGGGAGGGGTGGCAAGCCCGAATTACATAAAGCCGCAGGAATTGTGTAGCATGTTTCAAGTACTCTGCCATTGTAATCTTTTTTTCTTCTTCTTCCCTTAGCATAAAGAAATCACCAGGAAAGTTGAAAGAAGGTATGAATTGTTCTCATTTATGAACTTCTCCTGTGTCAAGTACATTTAAAAATATTTTAGTTCAATGTTACTTGGCCCTTCCTTAGCACAGGCCTAGGTGTAGCCAAGGTTAGCATAAGCCTGTGACTTCTGCTTCTTATAAATAAAACCTATACCCAGGCAAGTCTGTAATAGAGACTTAAAAGTAAGCTTGAATGCTAATCAGAAAATGGAACTCAATTTTTCAGTTAATTTGCAAAAGAAAAATGAAGAATGTGAAAAAGGAAGTGACTCCAAGAAAGTTAAAGTACAAAAAGTACAGTCTGCCAGGTAATCACCTGTCCCCCTATAAAAGAAACTGATAAAAGCATTAGCTTGGCTTGTATGGGAAAATATTTTAATTACTAGCACTTTCAGATTGGATCCTTTGCAAAAAAAAAAAAACCATATATATATATACACACACACACACACACACACACACACACACACACACGTTTACTTGCTATGCGAAGTTGACTATTTCTTATAAAACCACCCTATACTTCAGTTGTATCTGTGTATATACAAAATTAGAATTACAGTTTTTTATGTTACTATTTGAAATGAAAAAATAATTCCTTTGAAAATAAGCGAAGGAGGGGTGTCTGTGTTGCTCAGTGGGAGACCCTCTGCCTGGTTGGTCCCTAGCACCACAAAAAAATAAAGCTGTTTATGAAAGCGCATGTCATTTATTTTGATCTTTTGTGTTGATCACCAGCCAGAAAAGCTATTTAGCCCTAAGGCTAAAAGACCAAGATCTGAGAGATTCAAGGCAACAAGCCGCCAAAGCCTTTATACATAATTCTCTGTATGGCCCAGGAACCAACAGAACTACTGGTAATTTGCTTGTGGACTATTTTTGCTCATTTTTTACTGCAAAATAAACAAGGAAATGATAAATGATTCTCTTTTTTAGTAAATAAGTTTCTGTCTCTTGACAACAAGAGGTTACCGGTGAAAAAGGCTGCAGCCCAGTTTTTGAATCATGCTTGGGGTAAGATTCAGCTCTATTTTCAGCTCTGATACTTTTGTAAATTGAATGTTCTTTTGAGGACAATAGTTTTGTAATGATAATTGAACAGATCTAGTTAATTTATATCCCATTCACATGAACCAGAGAATCTTCAAAAGAATGTCTTGAGTTTTACATTTCTCAGGAATTTTAACTAATATTCTTATATAAAACTTTCTATTCTAGGAATCCAGAAAAAACAAAACGCCAAGAGGTTTAAACGACGGTGGATGTTCAGAAAGATGAAAACTAATAAATCAAAGTAAAAGCCAAATAAAGAATCTGTACTTTGTGTATGTAGAGAATTTAGAGCATTCATTTCTCTTATAAAAATCTTTTCAAAGTGTCATTATAAAAACTATAATAAGTCTGTGTTTGGAGAAATATTTAGCTGTATTTCATCTTTCTGGAATATGATCATGCCTTCTCATCTTTGAGAGCCCTGAAAGAAAAAACAGTCTTAAAATTATTTTCCTTTTTTTTTTTTTTTTTTCAATCCAGTAAACAAAGACAGTCTTAGGTGTCTGGGTGTCAAACTGAGAAGCAGTTAAAACCATCGACATTAATTGCTCTAATTCTACATTAACTATAAATGTATACATATGCCTAATATATATATAAACTCGACTGACACGCTAGTATCTGTAGAAGTAAATTTTTAATGGCTGGTTAATTATATCACTACATTTTTATTGCAATATAGTACTCATTTAAGCACTTAAAAATGGAAGGTGTACAAAGATTAAATTAAGACACAGTAAATTGACTAAATATTTGGTTTTTATATAAATAAAGGTCATAACCACACTGTTGACATGTAATACTGTTATAATACAACAGTTAAACTTGTGAGTCTACAACAGAAGTCATCTGTAATTAAACAGGAAACAAAGTTGAAAAGACCATGTTAAAACAAAACTACTGGGACTAACAGGTTGGGATTGTAAGTAGCAACGAACATATTCACTCAGCTCCTGAGTATTTCAAGTTTTACAGTACACATTAAAAATGATTTCTTCCATCAACACTATAAATTCAAACTGTCGGATGTTTATGCATTTTGCAAGTTACACTGATTGAATGCTTATATGGGAGCAGGGGTCGGAACATCTCCCAATTTGAAGTTTACATCACCCACATGCTAACACAAACACAACTTGTTCCATTTCCTCTCCCCTTCTTCTCCCCACAAAGAAGGCAGGACTTTTTGGTTTGTTTTAGGTAATTTTTTAAAGGATTTCTGATGATCGATTTGAATGTCTGAAATTCAGTAATATTTAACTCTTAGACAACTAAGAGGTTAAAGATGGAAAATAATTTCTCCTAACACTAAGTTAGAAAATCATTTGCATCATGCTGTAAACTAGGAAGCAATGTAAAGCGACAAAAACCTGTCCCCAGTACATAATTAAAAAAATCTAAATTTCAAATCAGCCGAGCTGGTCTAACTTCCATGTTGACTATATGCCACAATATAAGTGTGAGCTCTTGAAATGCATAGCTAATGTAGGTAGTCTTCCACTGTGGCAAATGCACAGGAGCCGATTCCTGATCGAGCCATCAGTCCTAGACATTGTGTAGCCTGTCCCATTGCTAGGGCAAGTGGAGGTTGCTTTGGCAGATTGTGGGTTTCTGAGGAAAAAGGATTTAAAAACAAATAGCAGTAAGACATTTTTTAAAATAATCAAGAAAATATTGTGTTTCCTACTCAAGTATCTGCCTATATGGCTTCCTATGACCTCACTAGCAAAGGCAGAGTGATGCCTTGAACATACTGTTCCCAGGTGACCAACAGAGAAAAACTTGCAAAATCATGCTCTGAAAAGTATTAGACACGTACCTATGATGGGAAAGACAACTTATATGACATTCGATCTGGCAAGTAATATTTAATATTTCTCTTCTACTTGACCAGAGTGGGTTGACATTAACCAGGGGGAGAACCAGGTTTTCATTAAGTTTCCAGTGATACCCACCCACCTTGAGAGGACAGAATTCAATTGAAGCTGCCTGCCTACCCCCAAAGCATAGTGGTCAGTGATATTTGGGGTAGATAATAGTGATGTCAGAGAACATACAGAAGGATCACCCTAAAATTTTGGAGGAATCAACTTAAAATTGATAGTTCAGACAGTGGAAGTTTTTAGAGTGCTACATACCATAAATTTGTCAGCTGGAGCAGAAGTGCAATAATTAACACATTTATTACTTGCAGAGATAAAAAAAAGTAAAGGTAAAAGTAGTCTAACTCAGAAGCTGGTAATTTCTCTGTATGTTGACCGGTGTCCGAATTTATATAATTCAACTCCCCTTGATTCAGAACTTGGAATAGCAACAGGCTGGGTGTGATGGTGCAAGTGGCTCGGGAGGCTAAAGCAGGAGAATTGTGAATTCAACCAACCTCAGCAACTTAGATCCGGTCTCTAAATAAAATTTACAAAAGACTAGTGATTTGGGGCTGGGTTGTGGCTCAGCTGTAGAGCGCTCCCATTGCACGTGTGCAGCCCTGGGTTCGATCCTCAGTACCACATAAAAGTAAATAAATAAAATGAAGGTATTGTGTCCAACTACAATTAATTTTTTTTTTTTAAAGACTAGTGATGTGGCTCAGTGGTTAAGCACCTCTGGATTCAATCCCTGTAATCCCCGCCCTTCCCAAATTGCACTATGGTGATGAGAGAAAAAAAATACTTCCTAAAGAATCAAAGCAGGGAAAAAAGAAAAAAAAAATCAAAAGCAAGCTTAGAATGTAAAGGTACAAGGGAAAAGGAAATGAGAATTCCTTGAAAAGTATTCAAGGTACACAGACCAGTGAGAACAATACTCTTCAAAACATCTGTGGGTGAAGATTATTAAAGAACTCATTTACTAAGCTGAAAAAGTTTTTTTTTTTTTAAATGACTCTTGAAGACTAACAGGGAAATAATTAACCTTGCTCAAATACATTCATTAGGTACACGATTACAGTCTCATTTTAGCCAACAGAGGCATCCAGTAATAAACATACTTAAATTTTTAGACATAGGAAAATCATAAGAATTACATATAAATGCATTATGCACTATATGTAGGAAAATCTATATAATACCACACAATACAAATATGCATAGTAATTTATAATTTGTCATTAATTTTACAGGAATGACAGTTAATGAACTGAAGCACTAATTATAGCTGAACCTATTATAGCACAGTAAGAATACACACCTTAGATAGGTTCCAGAACAATTTAATTCCTTTGAGGAACCCAACAAATAAGAAAATTGGTCACTTTTCTCCAAAAATTCTGCCCAAGTTTGAGTTGTACCTGGCAATTAGGACTGCATGACCAGCTATAGTGTAATAATTTCAAACAACAGTCTTCCCTAAAGAGCCACTATTGTTACTAATTTCTCTTATTAAAATAAGAGAAATTAGTAACAATAGTAGAGCTAAGTGGATTCTGTATAACCAAAAACACATTAACCAAAAGAAATTCATATCATTTACTATTACACAAATTAACTTTCAAAAACTATCACTCGAAGGACACTACTCCCATTCCCAAACATCAGTATTAGTCCTTAACAAATAAAGACTTAATGAACTTTATAAAGGTCTGCCCCTTACAAAAGTTAATTAAATGTGAGTACTGAGATCACCCCAGTCCTTCACTGCAAGTCTTCCTAAAATAGTTTGAAATGTGTGACAAAAAGACCTGAACCCTAACAGGGCTGACAGCTGAGCAGCCGTCTAAACAGGACTGAAGTCTCATGTTGTCTGGAGAATCAGAATCTTAAAAGTCAGATGAAAAGTCACTGTTATCTAAATTACCTTTGAAGAGAACTGCCCCCAAATTAAAGGTTTTATTGTATACAATCAACCTATATTTACTAAGAAATATATAAATGTTAGCACAAATACCCTCAAATATTCTGAGAGGCTAGGTGAAGTTTTGCTTTTTGGTTTTACTTACCTAATATTGCACTATTAAGAGCTGAGCACACAGGTTCCCTCTGAATTGGGTCAAGTTGATTTCCAACTGGGCTATTCCAAGGATCTGAATATGCTAGTAAACTGAAAGCATCCTGTTGAAAACAAACAATTTGATTTTCAATTCAAACAGTTCAACTGTTATGTTCACAAGCTGAGAGCTGGTTCCAAGCTGAGAGAGAGAGAGAGAGAGAGAGAGAGAGAGAGAGAGACAGACACACAGACAGATAGATACATGAAATAATCCTTCAAGTCATTAGTCTACTGTAATCTTTAAACTCCTTTTTCCCAGTCTGGGATGCTATTTTTTTTTTCTTTTCCCTGCAGTGCTGAGGATCCAACCCAGGACTTCAAGTGTTCAGCCACTACCCTCCACCCCATCCCCTGATTTAGATAAATGTTACCTTCAACTTCCATTTTGCCTGTTTGTACAGTTACGTGCTGCATAAAGACATCCAGGCCAGTGACAGACCATGTACGTAACAGTGGTCTCTAAGACTGAAATGGAGCTGAAAATTCCTGTGGACTAGTGACAGCATAGCTGGTGTCATGTTTTAGCACAATGCACGCTCACCTGTTTGGGGGGGAGCTGGTGTAAATAAACCTACTGCACTGCCACTTGTGTATATTAGATAGACCACACTTGGTAATGTGTGACTGCCAAGCCCAGGCCACGCCACATGCCCACTGTACAGCCGAGGTGTGTAGGTCTGTTTAAGTACACTCTGATGTGTGCACAAAAAGACAAACTACCTAACAACACATTTCTTGGAACACAGCCATGTTGTCAAGTGACTCGAAAGCATGGGATTCAGAAGTTTATGCCAATTCCAAAATATTTAAGAATTGAAAAATAACTACCATCACATGTAGTCTGAGGAGGGGAGGATGATTTCTAAGACTCAACTACAGCAAAAAATGTGTTCAGATGCTCTTCTCTAGGCTTTTTTCTTGGACTCCTTATAAAGTGGGTCACTTATTCATCCTTGTGTGGATCAAGGTTAAGTCTGAGGAATGAGAAGGAAGCAGCTGAGAATATTAAGAGAGCCCCCTAAAGAGTTTGGGAGCTGCTCAGCAGTCAGAGGTACAAAATCAAAGCCATCCATAGTCTTTGAATAAAGATGAGTAACATCTTCACATAATTCAGTGTGAATAAATCAATTAATCAAGAAATATCTTTAAGAAACAGAGCCATAATAACATTTTCTGAGCTTTGTGCAATTTAAAATAAAAAACATAGTAAGCTAATGGCATATAATCAAATTTTTAAAGGTACCACATAAATCACACCTTCCTTCATGCTGCTCAATTAATATAAATTCTAACAAGACAA